CAAGTGCAACTATTGGACAAGGATGATTTGAGGGGAGGAGCCAGTATTTTGCAGGTCACCCTACTAAAATAAAAGTTTGTCATTTTTATAATACATGCACTCTTTTATAAACAGGAAACAAGAATTTGTAATGTTAAATAAATTAGCACAGCTCCTATATATTTCCTAGCAAAAGCTTGCATTTAATAATGTTTCAACTAGTCAGATATGCTGGCTCATGACTCCCAAGTAATCCCAGCTATTATAGAGGCTAAGGCAGGTAGATGACAAGTTCAAAGCCAGTCAGATCAACTTAACAAGATCTGGGAAGATAGGCACCAACTGTCCTCATCCCTGCACTAATGAAGTCACATGTAGAATGAACATCAAATATAGTCATATGTGGGGAACTGAAAGCATTGAGGAAAAGATTAGGTAAGAATTTGAGAAGCCATGAGTGGTGGTGCATACCTATAATCCCAGCACTCAGGAGGCTGAGGTGGGGAAGTCACTTGAGCCCACAGTTTGAGAGCAGCCTATGACACAGCGAGAACTCATTTCAAAAAAAAAAAAAAAGACCCAAAATCCCAGCGGTTTAAGAGGTGGAGGCAGGAGAATTGCAAGTTCAAAACCAGCCTCAGCAACTTAGCAAGGCACTAAGCAACTCAGTGAGATACTGTCTCTAATAAAATACAAAAATGGGCTGGGGAGCTGGGCACAGTGGCACATGCCTGTAATCCCAGCAGCTCAGGAGGCTGAGGCAGGAGAATCAGGATTTCAAAGCCAGCCTCAGCAAAAGCTAAAAAATTCAGTGGGACCCTATCTCTAAAGAAAATACAAAACAGGGCTGGGGATGTGACTTAGTGATTGAGTGCCCCTGAGTTCAATCCCCAGTTCCTCCCCCCAAAACAGATAAAATGACTTTGGGGAAAATAAAAACAGATACCCATGTTAAAAAGCTACCAGTTATCTGGTATTTCTACATTTAGGAGAAAATGGCTCATTAACAGCTCCTGTCCTCAAGGGATGGGAGAGATTCCAACTCTCACCAAAATGAAAGAAAACTAAGGACACACCAGGGATGAAGAGGAGCAAAAACTGGGCCAAAACTGACTCATGAAGCAAAGCAGCAAGTCTCAGGATTCCTGACCACGTTCTCTGTGGTTGGTTTTAGGTAAGAGGAAACTGCCTTCCCATATATTCATATTTTGATTTCATTTCCCTTTAAGAAGAATATTCCCTCTGAAAAAATCCCAGGCTTAACTCAAGTAAAGTAAATGAGCCAGGCACAGTAGTGCATGCCTGTAATCCCAGCAGCTCAGAAGGCTGAGGCAGGAGAATCACAAGTTTCAAGCCAGCCTCAGCAATTTAGCAAGGCCCTAAGCAATTTAATGAGACCCTGTATCTATATAAAATATTAAAAAGGAGGCTGGGGACACAGCTCAGTTGGTAGAGTGCTTGCCTCACATGTACAAGGCCCTGGGTTTCATCCCCAGCACCACCACCAAAAAAAATTAAAAAGATTATATATATGGTTGAGGTTGTGGCTAAGCAACCCTGGGTTCAATCTCTGGTACCAAAAAAAAAAAAAAAAGAAAAGAAAAACTAAATGAAACAGTGGTTTATCCTAATACATGCAAGGCCAGCAGAAAGGAGGCAGCCCCAGGAGGGAAGATCCAAGAAGGAAGCTTGAAGACTGAAGGGCAGCAAACTCTGGTCTATTCTTGTTTGAGGCATCCATTACCTCTCTAAGTCACTGCCCTACCAGCAAGAGCCCCAGAGGCAGTCTGGAAAAGCTCAGATTCTACCCTAAACTTTGAACTCAGTTGCTTAACTCAAACTCTAACTAGCAGGATCTCCAATAGGCTCTCTTACTATCACCTAGGAAAGTGACCTATTGTCACTTAGCA